GAACAGATAAACTACAGGAGATCCATAAAATGAAACACTACAGAGACACAAGGGAACAGCTGTCGACTCAAGAACATGGTGAAACTTAAATGCATTCTGTAAGTGAAAAAAGCTAGATCCAAAAAAGCCACATGCTGTGTGATTCATTCATGGTGTTCTGGAAAAGTCCAAGGGAAGGAAGGCAGACGGGTGGTGGCAGGGGCTGAGGAGTGGCTGGCTTCAAAGGCGATGTGCAGGGGAATGTTTGGGTGAGAGAGCTGCTCTGAGTAGGAGCAGCGTAGTGGATGTTGACTCGGTGCATGTCCCAAGCCCACAGAAGAAGCCACTGCAAAGAATAAACTCTAATGGATGCAAAAATATAAACCAGGAGGTTCAAGGACCTCAAGAGGAAATGAAGACCCCGATGAAGGAATCTAATGATACTGCAGATATATGGACACCTTGCCAAAGTAGTTCAGGGAAAGAGGAGTTGTGAGCTCAGAAACCTTGGAAACAGTGTTTGAATGGGAAACTATATGGCTAAAGACAGAGAACGGAGCAGGAGCACAGTACTTCAGTGGTAAAGCTGTTTCTGGTGGGGGAGGGAGGTAGTGATAGCTCTGGAACTGCTTTACTCCTACTCTGGGGGTGGTGTATAAACAGGTAAATGGATAACAGGTAAATGTTTGGGTTGTCAGAAGTCGGTCTGCCACAGAGAGGAGTTCTAGGCAATGGAGGGAAGGCTAGAATGAACCACTTGGTACTGTGCTAGAGTAAGAGACATCAGTAGGAAGTCATGTTTACCTTACTATATAGTAGGATGTACACATAGAAATAATTATGGTGTGCATGTACGGCTTTGTGTGTACATGTGCATTTCCTGGTTCCATTTCCTGAGAGTGAGCACCCAGTGGCAGCAAGCACACCCTGTGCCCAGATCTTGGTTTCTAATACCATTCTCAAAGAAAAACAGAATCTGGCTCCTTGGAGAAATGACTAGGGCAGCCGGATACAGTGGAACATGCCTGTTATCCCAGCAACTTGGGAGGCTGAGGCAGGAGGATCACAAGTTCAAGGCCAGGCCCTAGCTACTTAGTGAGATCCTGTCTCAAAATAAAAAATGAAAAGGGGGGCTGGGGATGTGGCTCAAGCCGTAGCGCGCTCGCCTAGCATGCGTGCAGCCCGGGTTCGATCCTCAGCAGCACCACACACCAACAAAGATGTTGTGTCCGCCGAGAACTAAGAAAAAATAAATAAATGTTAAAATTCTCTCTCTCTCTCTCTCTCTCTCTCTCTCTCTGTCCCCCTCTCTCACTCTTTTTAAAAAAAAAAAAATGAAAAGGGCTGGGGATGTGGCTCAGTCCAAAAAAAAAAAAAGACTAGGATAGCAAAAATAAAGATGAGCCAGACAAGGATGCAGCCTGAGAGTTCTCAATGGTCAAAGCAGGAACAGTTGGAGCAGAACAATGCAGGGTTAGATTATAACCCCAAGGTGACGTGTGGATGAGCCCAGAATAAAGATGATTGAGGAAGTGAGGGTGGGAGCAGTGGGGGCGACAGCCTCCCTACAGGGAGGGGCAGAAGGAGAGCTCTGGCACACTTCATGTTGACCAGATATCAGTGTCAATATCATGAGTGGCAGAACCTGATGTGATGTGACTGTCACTTTACCTCTGTGATCTGTCCCTGCCAAACCCATAACCCCAGCCTCACCATGAGAAAAGCCAGCCTCACCATGAGAAAAGCATCAGAAAACTCTGGCTGAAGACAAAATACCAACCAGTGTTCTTTAAACTGTTAAGGTCTTGAAAAACAGGGAAAGACTGAGACCGTCACAGAGCAGGAGTCCAACAGACCCCATGTCTAAATGCAGTGTGGTCTCCGGACGACGAAGGCTGCAGCTAAGTGAACAGTGAGGTACCAGCCGCTTCTCAGTCTGATAAATGCACTTTGTCGTGTCAGATGTCCACCTTCTGGGAAAGTGAGCAAGGGATATGTGGACTCTCCACAGTACCTTCACAACTTTTCTAAAATAATTTCAATATGAAAAATTTACCTGGAGAACGGACCAGTCTCAAATGTAAAAGCTCAAATTGTACTTCAAGAAAAAGCACAGAGAAAATCTTTGTGAATGTGTTAGGCAAAGAGTTCTTCAACACAGTCCCAAGAGTATAACCATAAAAGAAAAAAAAAAATGAATACATTGGATTTCATTAAAATTAAAATACATGAGCCAGGTACAGAGACTCAGGAAGCTAAGACAGAAAGATTGCAAATTCAAGGCCAGCCTGAGCAATTCAGCAAAAGTCTGTCTCCAAATAAAAAGGGATGAGAATTATATCTCAGTAGTATAACACCACTGAGTTAAAGCCACAGTTCCATAAATAAATAAGTCAATTAAAAGATAAAACATTTTGCTTTAAACCATTAAGAAAGTGAAAAGGTATGGTAGTGCATGAATCTCAGGAGGCTGAGGCAGGAGGATCAGAAGAGCT